ACCCTAAACCCTAAACCTATGGACCAAAGGACCTTGAACTCCAGGTCCTGCGAGCCGGAAGTCAACAAGATCACCTTCGAGAAGGGCAAGCAGTACATCCTCCTTGTCTGTTCCGACGGTGTGTGGGTGCTTCTGGCTTGTTGCTTTATGGCTTCAGGCGTGAGGGATTTAGGGTTTAGGGGTTTAGGGATTTAGGGTTTAGAGGTGTGCGGGTTTTGGGGGCGTAGGGTTTGGGGGCTTGTTAAGCCATAATCCCCATCCAAAACTCTGATCAACGCATCGCGCCCTTATTGGCAAAAGCTTCGTTTGTTGAGGCCCATGCAACAACGGATTTTGAAGCCTTGCTTCCGACTGAAGTGCACGCCTTCAGCGCGAGATCCCCAACTCTAAGCCATCTAATCCCCAAAGCCTACTTGGAGGGTCAAGGGGACTTGGTAAGGAGGTCAAAAATGAGGATAACTTGGGATACTACATGCATTATAGGAGTTATTAACCTACTTCCCTAGTCCCCCAGGACCCTCCCAGTCTGCAACCTCTAGAAACTGAGGCCTAAACCCTAAGCCCTAAATCCCGAAACCCTAAACCCTCAACTCCGAATCCTTCCCAAGGGTCTCAAACAATGCGTCCCCTTGGCGTGCCAGGAGTTTATCTCTGCGCAAGAAGCCGGGAACCTCAAGTGCTGTCTGCACACTGTTAGGGTTCAGGGTGTCAGGTTTAGGGTTCAGGGCTAAGGGTTTATTCTTTAGGGCTTTGGGTTTAAGGTTTAGGGCTTTGGGTTTAGGGCTTAGGTATACTGTGGGTCCATATGTCGGGTGTTCATCAACAGGGGGCCCCAATATAGAGCCCGATATGAGAACGGCTTGGCTCCGACGAACATGGGAGTTTCTCACAAGCACGTTTATAGAACTCTAAGCCTTGGGTACTGCCCCCCTCAGTAACAGTTGGGTAATAATTATAATAGGGTTACATATAGCCCTTAATAGGACCCCTAATATAGACTGTTACTGGGTTGGGGCAGTACCCAATCTAAGCCCTAAGCCCTAAACCCTCAGTATGGACTGTAATCCCTATATGAACCATTGTCTAAACTCCTAGTATCCCCCTTAATATCCCCTATAGTAGCCCCTATATAATCCCCTATATATCCCCCTTTAAGGAGTTTAGACTATAGCTCATATATCCCTAGGGTCCCAAGGGGCCCTATTCTTGGCAACTCAAAAGCTCATGCTGACCTACCCTAGGACCCCCTTCGTTCTGAAAGTCCCATATGTGGCTTTCTCAAGTTGAGGTGGTAAATAACTGGGAACCCCGAACAGGGAATCCCAAGAATATAGTGGGAGAATAAGAGGAATATACCTACCAGGGTCCTTATATTCTAGTGTATTCCTACTATATTCTTGGGGTTCCCTGTTTGGGGTTCACATTAGAACCCTTTTAGTAAATGGCAAAAGCCTTAACTTTAGCGAGAAAATATATGTCCTCCTAACCCTTTTTTGAAGGGACTTCAGGGCACCCATGTTTGAATCTATCTGCAAAGAGATACCCTAACCTAAAACCTTGAAACCTGAATCCTACAGACAACCCGAAGCCTTAAAACCTGGCCCGAAACAGGGTTTAGGGTTTAGGATTTAGGGTTTAGGGTTTAGGGTTTAGGATTTAGGGTTTAGGCCTAAACTGACAGTTTCTTGGGATTTGACGATGTGCGCTCATAGTGCAAGGCTTTCAACCGTGGGTCTTTGGACTTTGAAAGCTCGTTTGCTGTAGCAGCTGAAGATCCACGTTTAGGGTTTAGGGTTGTAGCTAGGAGTTGGTGATCCAACCCCTAACAACTCAACCTCAGACCTAAATCCTCAGTTCTTGATCCCATAACTTACTGGGGCTTAGTAGGGAATAAGGGAAAAGAGCCCCTATATGTATTCCCTCTTTTCCTACTAACCCCGCAGTAAGATAAATCTTTCAACCTTAGACCCAGATGCCCCTTCACCCTAAACCTGAGACCTTAAGACCCTAAGCCATAAATCCCACCAGGCAGTGGACATCGTCAGCAAATACGACGCCAATGAGGCGACCGCGGCTGCCGACGACCTCGTCGCTCGCCGCAACAGTTTTAGAGTTGATGGTTACCTAAACCCCAAAAGTATGAAAACAACACGGGCTTTTTGGGCTGTTTTAGGGATTCAGGGCTATTATTTTACTTTCTTTTGGGGGTCCAGGTAGCACCAAGCCTTACAGCCGGAACCCTAATCCGAACCAGGGCTTATTGCGACTTTACGGGGATTCTGATGCTGGCTTCTGGCATAAAACAAAAGCCGAAGAACTGCCCATCCTCAATCATGCTTGCAATTGTCCAGAGGCGGTTTACTGGCTTGGGGTTTAGGCTTGGATTTTTGGACAACTTTTCACAGACTCCTACTTTCAAATTAGATATTTTTTGGATTTGAGTCCAGAGGTTTAGGCTGAGGCTACGTTTCATAGATGGCTTATCTGGACTTCTCGAGTTGTTGAGAGCGTTCCGGGTATGTGATTTGGCAGTCTGAACGATCACTGGGCACTATGCAGGAAATCTTGCACCATTCAGGACCGCCACAGTGGTGTAGTTCGTAGCGGTCCTAACGGTAGGGTATATAGAGCGCGTGGTGCAAGATTTCCTCCATCCACAGTATGTCTGAGGCTCTTCTCATCGCGCTTCGAGCTCAAACGCATTAGAGCCACATGGTAGTTGCCCAAATCAGGGGACCCCATATAGACCCCAAGCAGAGACCCCAAAAAGGGTACCCCTAGTCTTGGGAAACCCCCGCATTGCATACTTTCCTCCTACAGCCACAGTGCTTTACGTGCTCTCCCTGATCAGGACACCGGAGCTGACAAAGGTTTGAAGTTTAGGGTTTAGCTGACAACCTGAAAATTAGAACTCCGACCTAACAAACCCAAAGCCCTAGCCCCTTGCTCCCAGCCCAAAACCTAAACCCCAACCTCCATTCCGAAACACTATGAACCCTAAGCCCTGTACACCCCAAACCCCCAATCTATAAACCAATAAACTCTAAACTGCCAAGCCGCAAATCCTAGACCTGAACTTGACCCTAAGCCCAAAACCCTCAGCCTACGGGTCCAATTCGCATTTTCCCATTTCCTGAATTAGAAAGTTTGGAAGCAACTGACGACAAGTCACCAAGTAACTGTTTGTACGTATAAACATATATAGTAGGCTTATATAAGTTTATAAGAACCTTACGACTAAGGGCCCATACTAGCGGCCCATAGTTTAGATCCTTAGAGATGATAAGAAGCCCCAAGCGCCCTAAACCCTAAACCCTAAACCCTTACCGGCACGACCTTCGAGGCAAAGGAGGCATGGGACCGATGGATCAAAGAGGAGGGCGGCAGCGTCGTAACTCGGGCTGCGTAGTTCCGGGGTGTAGGGATAGGGTTTAGGGGTTTGTAGGGGTTGGGGTTGTTTTGCTTGTTGAGGGTTTCAGGTGTCGAGTGTGGAGTGTAAATTTGGGGTTCAAGGTTCAGAGTTTAGCGGTTGGGGTGTAGGGTTTTGGGCTTTTGTGCAGTTCAGGAGCGTGGGTGTTAGGGTGTGCCATGGATGGTCCCCTAAACCCTGAGCCCTAAAACCAATGTTGGGTTTTCTTCAGGAACACGAAGCTCCCAAGCCGTCGTCTTACAGGTATTGTGACCCTAAACCCTAAACCCTCATACGCTGCCTCAGGCCCTTGTGAGCCGTTGCGCATCCCCGAACCAAAGACTGGGTTTTAGGGTTTGGGGCCTTTTGGGAATAGTTTGTATTTTGAACATCATAAGCCCCGTTAAGAAGTATGGGGATTTCCGGTAATCGGGGGACCCCAATATAGAACCCCCCGGCATTTACAATGTTAGATTGTGACCACAAGCAATGGATCCCCAATTGTCGGAAGGACCTCATACAAAGCTATGATCTTAAGCTGTAGCGCAACAAGGAACCAGGACCCTAAACCCTAAGCCCTAAGCCCTAAACCCTAATTCCTAAATGCTAAACCCTAAACCCT